GATGACTAATGGATGTGATATTATCACTACCATTTATGGAAAAGCGTTGAAGACTTTGCACAAACTATTTTGCTCAATACTCATAAATGTCATATGAACTTTTTTCTATATTTTATAAATGAGGAGAAATATTTCTAGAAGTTAATTCATTTGGAAAAGATCTGAAAGATATTAAGTGGAAAAGTCAGTGTTTGAATTCATGACTCCCTGACTGTGAAACTCACTGTCATTACATTAATCCCTGCCTCTTCTCAAATCTCAGGATTATAAATCCCACAGATATAAATCATACAGACTATAAACACAGGATTTTCTATTTAGAAATCAATTTAATCCTCACAGTAAGAGAAATATTATCATCATCAGTAGCAGCAGCATCTACATTATCAACACCTTCAGTACGACCAACAATAGCTCCATTTCACAAATAAAGACTCTGAAGAGTAATGAAACAAGGGGCTTAGCCAGTAACCTACCTAGTCCCTAATAATGCTAATGCAAATAAGGCCAAAGCATATAATCCAAACCAAACCTGACAGCATGGAACTAATACTCCTTCGAAGAAGGAAGACTGGTCATAATCCTCCACAAAATACTTATACCCTAACAGAAAGTATTTTATTCACCATAAAATATTTTAAATGCTTTGATTTTGATGCTATATATAATGTCAACATATCCTTGCTTGCTTCTTAAATTCAAGACTAACATTATTTAGATCTCTGGCTTGTTGGGTTTATTTTGCACCTAGAAGTGTGTGCAGAATTTATTACAAATATTACCTGCTTTGTAATTTATCTGCAAAACATGCAATTTGGTCTAGAACATTCACGTATCTCCCATGGCTAAACTAATACCTACCATATATTGTACTTGTTGATAAAATGAAAATAATGTTGCAAGAAAAAGTTAAGCTGGAAAGAGTCATTAAACCCTTATAGTCTATCAGAAATAAACTGAGAAAAACTTAATTGCTTAAGACCACAGAGTTAGTGACTAGCAGGAATGTAGAAAGTAGCTGTTTTATTAAAAATTGGCTATTTTTGTTTTATAATGTAACGGTAAAGAAATACTGAAGTAAATCAGTACTTTCATTCCCATTTGTCCAGCGGCTATGTAGTTTGTCTAATACAGTAGTGATCAAAATGTTACTAAGAACTGGATCATATTTTTAATACTTTTCATTGTAAATAAGGTGTAGACCTTTATACAACCCACCATAATGTTGGTGAGAAAGTTATGCTCCGATTGAGAATTCAGAAGTTTCAAGGAGGAAATACAGTGTAGGTGAGGGGAAGGGAATTCAAGATTAAGGAAAAATATTTAGCACAAACAATGAGAATGCTATTTATGTTATGTCTTGAACTACAGTGAATTTTTAAAATCACAATACTGCCAAATTGCATATGATATTGTGGACCGAACTACAGGACATTTTTTGAAAGTATCAAAAGTATACTTTCAATGCATCAAAATAACAGCACTTTAAAATATGTTACTGAGTACAATCACACACATCTCATGTTCTTATTTATTTGCTATTAAAGGTGAAAGGGCTTAAGAAAAATACCCTGTAACTCTCTTAAAAGATGTTGACACTCTAAATATTTGATATTATTATTGTATATATTTTTAAATAGAAAAATTTTCCAGTTTTCAAAAATGATATAATATTTAGGACCAAAATTGAACTATTTCATGAAGTGGTACATTAAAGCCATAATAATCCATAAAGATCCCTAGGCTCATTAACTCAGAAAACCTGAGCTCAAAACTAATGAGTTAATACCTGTAAGGAAGAAATACATTGCCTACCCAGCTTAAAATAAGCCCCCACTTGTTATTATTTTTACAGCTATGTCTGTTGTTACTTCAGTGTAATGAAAACCATTTGAAACAAAATATTTAAAACATTTTAGTAAGCATTGCCACTCACAAACAAACATATTTTATGTTATATATAGATACCTTTATGCTAGGTACGGTGATTATCCACACTGAGCAGACTTGAGGAGAACATTTTCTAAATCATCTCTGTTTCGTGTATTTCTGTGTATGTTTTTGCTTTCCTGCCAAATTGTTAATTCCTTATTTCTGTTCTGCCTCCAACATTTTCTAGTTTCCAACTTTTCTGTAGTTAATATTTTTTTCTCTAATTAGTAACAGTAACCAAATTCAATGTCTTACTGCATTGAGTTGTTGGGATTCTATTTCAGTTCCTATTCTTCCCTTCATAAATTGCTATTTTGAAGCCACATGATAAAAAGCACTTCCTTTAGGCTGAAGCTTGGGAGACATGATCTTGAGATAATTTTTTTCAAGAAAACCAGAAAAGTATACCACATATTTTCAAGTTGAAAGATTATTTTTTTTCCCTGGCTACTACTACCTACAGTGAAGAGCTGACCATACTTGATTTCAGGATTTTTGCCGACCAAACATTAAATGACTTACCAATACAGACAAGACTATGGACTTTACAGAATTTTTTTTATTCTTCATAAAGTTCATTGTCCAAATAAATTCAACATAATTTCTCTGTATTCTTTTTCTTTGGTATAACCAATAACATAAATTATGGAGAAGTCACAGGGAGATTTAGTGTAAAATTCTCATAACTTGAGGACAGAAATTCTTTAATAATCCTTTGTTGAAGTGAAAAAGACTATAAAATGTATAATTTTATGTGCCATTTCCTTTCTTGTCTTGGCTGCTAATTTACCTCATTTTTGAAAGTGATATCTAAAACTGTGAGGCACAATAGCACAATAGCAAAATAAATCCTAGGAAAAAAGGAGATCACTAGTCAACGTATATTATGCCCTTTTTAGATTTTAATTGATGCCAGATCCTATTCTAAATGTTTTATAAAACACTGAAGAAGAAATTGGAGTCAGAGATAAAGCAATGAATAGCCCAGGAACGCAAAAATGGAAAATAGAAAGTTTAAAAAGAAAGGAATGAAGACTGAAAAAAAAATGAAATGCCAAAAGACATATCACAGTCAAGTGCAATAAACTTACTACTAAGAGTGTTGAAAGTCTGTCTGAAAAGAGTTGATAATCTGTTAACTTACATTCCTAAAGACATCCAGTCAGTAGCTCAAAATTATGTGAAATATCTAGCATCTCAAGCATTTTTTGCTTTGTTTCACTGGATGCCAATACAGTTCCTCCCCTCTGAACTAAACCGGAGATTTGAAGAATGCAATCAAGCTTTAGACTTTTTTGGTATTAATCATTCAAACATTTAACTATACTCATTAGGAAAGATAGTCTATGGTATAGATAAAGATAGTCAGGTTGGGACTTCATCACTAGTAAGTAAATACTTCCCCTGTCTATACCTCAGGGTCCTCATCTGAGAAACAGAGATAATTAATAACACCTATCACGTAAGGCGGTTGTGAGAGTTAAGCAAAGTTAGCATGTATAAACTACTTAAAACAGTTCCTGGAAATAGAGTAAGGGTAACAGTAGCGTCTGAAACTACAGAACATTGCAGTCTTTTGCCTCACGGAGCTTTGGCTCCTAGAGAGAAAACATTCTCATAGGATTTTGTATAAATCTCAACTGAGACTCAGAAATACACAGTGAACAAAATTCGACTAGCCCTATGACACTAAGTAAACAGAAGTATACTAATATTTTTAATAGGAGAAAACAAGCTAACTGCTTTAAAATAAATTGTAAAACAGAAACAAAATATTTCTTATGGCAGACGTGGGACATTTATTCAAATGGTTTTCATAACATTTGTCTCCTAGAAAACTAGTGTGGAAAGGCTTAGCTGTAGCATCCCTCTATACACTGCCCTAAGGAGACACTGTTGTGACCATGGACCAGTTTTGTAACTCAGATGGGCTGTTTTTCTAAAATTTAAAATGAGAGAGTTGAACAAGTGCTCTCTAATGTTTTTTAACACACAATTACATTAATTGATTTGATGAATTTATTTAGAAAACTGAGGTTCTTAAATTTTTAAGGAACAAAAAAGATCTAAGAACATAATGAAAGCATAAAATTAAAGGAATGAATTCACACTCATAGAGTTTGAATTTACAGTTGAAGGAGTGAAATATCCTTATGTTTGAGGCTGGCATGATCTAGTTACTGAATTAGCAAGGCATTTGTCCAGCATATATGTTTCCTACGTGTATTCATAGCACTCTCTCACAATGCATATTATTAAGTAATAAAGAAAGAAATAATGAATGGCTTACTCCTTATAATTTTAATATTCTTTATCTTGTATCAAAAATACAACTCTAAATAACATTATTCAGTAACACAAAAAAGTAATATGAAATACATTAGAAAGATGAAACACATATTACAAAGAACATAAAAATATACTAAACTTAAAATATAACTAAAAGGAAAAATGAGAAGAAAATTTTGAATATTTTCTGGAATGAGGCAAGAGAGCCCCCATCATGAAGAGAAGTGTTACCTTTACATAGTTAATTTTTTTTTAATTATGTCTGTAAATCTTAAAGGACTAAACGTGTCCTTCATGGAAAGGGCAACACCAAATTTGAAAAAAACAACACAGATGCATAAGGAGAATTGAGGGCTTGAAAGGCCACCTTGAACACCAGGCCTTAAAGGTGGTCCATGAAATAGTATTTATAAGAAATTGCACGACAGGCAATGCTTTTTCATTATAAAGTTAACAAAGAAGAGAGCCTGCATATTGTAATGTAGAGGAAAATTAAAAGACTTTAATCATTAAGTGATGCTATTTCATTTATTGCAACATATCAAACTCCAAAAGGCAGAAAGTATAAAACATTTTTAAGAAAAACACTGAAAGAAAATAACCACAAAATGAATCATGTGGTAAAATCAAAATCTGACAAACATGAAAAAAGTCATCTGAAAGTTAAAATTTCATTTTTGACTATTATATTAGGTACAATGAAGCCTGTGTTCACTCTCTGAAGAATATACAAACCACATCTATTTTTCTGGATCAGTACCCTGTGTAGTTTACCATACCTGTGGGTAGCTGTCAGTCCTTGGCAAAACTGATATATCATAGGTGGCTGCAAAGTGGCTTTTAGCTTGTTGTATTTGGCCATAACGTTCTCTTTTTCTCCACTTGGCTCTTCGATTTTGAAACCACACCTAATTTTTTTAAAAAAGTAGAATTTTAACTAAGGAATATTTGGTAAAGCAAATTTTATGTTAAAAGATTTCAAACCAGATGGAAAACCAAGTCAATAAACTACTTATAAAATTATTAATTTTTGTATCAGAAAACAATCCAGAAATTTTACTTTCTCTTGTACTCTGATATTAAGTGGTAAGTCCATGAGCATTAGAATTTAACAGGAAGAGCTGAGAGACATTCTGCAAATTTACTTGATATATCAGTGCCTCTGTTTTCTCATTTGCAGAAAATAAAAGATAATTAAGTTATATAATCTTGAATATTATTTATATCCCCACATTATTGTGGATAATCTTCCTCCAAGAGAATGCTACAAATCTCAGAAACAACTATAACTTTTTAGTGTAGGTTTATGCCATAACAGGAATGAAGCCAATCTATGATGAAATTAATATGAGTATATTAAAAAATGATCTTTTAAACATGTCACAAAGTGAAGACTCTTCTAGGTTGTACTTACACTTAGATAAATTATGCATAAAGATTGCATCTAAAACATATGGATGGCAGTGTTGGAAGTATTTTAATTATTCAGAAGTAGAAAAAATTAAATATTAAGTTGTACATGTTAAGGATTGTATGAGATGTGTTTTTTAAATGTTCAGATATTGTCAGTAATTTCTCCAATTTAAAACATTTACAGGTAATATAAATAATACAATAAGTAGGGTATATAGATCCAAGAGTTAAGAATGATTGTGAGTTAATGTGGCCTTTTTCATGTCACTGAATGTTTTTCCACAATTTTTCTAATTATGTCCCAGAAATACTTATTATAAGGACCATCTTCTCAAAGGATTGATTAATTTACACTTCTATTACTCCAAAAATTTTATATTTAATATTATAATGTAGTGAAGTGAGATAAAGAAAATTATACCCTATATGAAAACACGGAGACACAGATTAGACATCATACTGTACAAAGAGCTTTAGGGAATCCCTTTTGCCTTCTTTATATAACTAGGTGAAAATATATTTAGGAAATAAAACTAGAAATCAATGATAAAAATGCAAATTGTAAAACGTCTTTCCTTAAAATTTACTTGGAATTTTACATTCGTTTTAATACTCAATTGTAATATTCTCTATATCTTTATACCTTCACAAATTTGTCTATTGAATAATGCTTGGTTTAATGTTTAAATATATATTTCAAATTTAAGGTGCCACTTGAAGAGTTTTCATCAATTAAAACAAGACAAAAGTTACCTGTTTAGAATGTTTTCATAGTACACTTCTGATAATAAATATTATCCATTATACCCAAAGCTTGAGATGAAAACTAAACCAAAAACAAAAGTTTTTGTTTTCATTTTTTACTGTCTCTACAGATAGGCACCAAGAAATATTAAGAGTTTTACTAATGAGGTTTTGGGGGTTTCTCCCCCATTGACAAAAAGACTTAGACCATCTTCTTAAGTGGGTGCCAATTACCGCTCTCATGTCAGAAGCAGGAAGGGGAACAACCTGGGTAAATTAGGTTCAGGTTGGCTCTCTGTACGTGTTTTCAGACAAATATAATCAGGGCTTAAGAGGAAAACATGCATAGTACACAGCTGATCATGCCATATGTAAACATATTTTTCTATGGTTAGAAGTATAACTAATTTAAATATATGGACACAAGACACATGCAGGACTGATGTTAGTACATGACAATTCTAAAATTCTTCATTAGCACAAACTTTCTATATATTTACTTCCTGAACTAAGACAAAATAACCATTTGTGTCCACAAACTCAAGCAAAAATCTGCTGCTTGTTATCCCTGCACTACCAGATGTTCTCTTTAATGATGTACCAGCCTTACAATGCCTGAATTTTAAGAAGCAATACTTACTCCATTCAGAACAAAATTTTTTTTCTACCTATTCATTTCTGACAGTGTATGAGAATAGCAAAATTTGGTATTTTCTTAAAGTAGTAAGCATATACACAAAGAAAAAATCCATTCTCCAGAAATACTGTTGAGGTTGAAACTCTTATTAATAGGGAACTAATAAAATATAATTTAAGTATTTCAAATCTAGCTAAAACAAAATACACCTAAGAGGAAGAATTTTGCTTCATATACTTTTTGTTTATCAAATTTTTAAAAAACTTTTAACACTTTAAATCATATTTGTATAATTTAAATAATTATATAAAATAATTAGTACATACAAAAATTTCTTTAAATATATTTTACTATGTAAAAACTATAGTTATTTAGATTTTTTAAAAAACTAAAGTGGTGTTGACAATTTCTAGGGCTAGAAAATTATAAATGAACTACTGGATGCTTCTTTAATTATATTAGCAAGAATATTGCATGTTTCACCTAACAATCGACAATTCATGATGTTTCATTTTTTTTATTTTATCATAACTCAACCTACATGAAATTATGGATTTATGTGAATTATACAAATAATTTACAAATACCTTGGCATATAATCTAAAAAGAATTTCAGTGGCTGATGAAAGAGAAACAAAATGAAATATATTCATTATCTAATTAATAGTTATACTTCTGTTTTTCATCCTTTAAAAATTACTCAAAATGAGATATACCATCATATTCTGTTCATCTTAAATGGCTTAATTTTTATGCATATGCAATTACTTCTGTTCATATGTTTTGTGTACACTGTCAAAACCTTTCCAAGTAAAAAGGAAGTGTAATGGATCTGCATGCATAAATATTACATTGTTCTATGTCATCAGCTCCAGAATCAGTTTCTTTCTATGCAACAAAGTATGATGGTTCAATTATTCTCTTTTCACCCCAGCCCACCACAAGGCCTCCATCCAACTCCTACCTGGACCCTGGCCTCAGTGAGCTCTGTTCTCAGAGCAAGCTGTTCTCTGACATAGACGTCGGGATAATGGGTTTTCTGAAAGACCTTTTCTAGTTCTTCCAGCTGCAAACTGGTGAAGGTGGTTCGGTGTCTCCGCTTTTTACTGCTGGATACATTGCTGTCACATTTATCCCCAAGTTCATCCATTTCTCCCTTCTCTGGCATTCCTTTCCCGGGAGACATCCGGAGACTGTTGCAGTTGTCCATTGCTCTGTTCAGTTCGGTGTGAAGTGGTTGTTGTCCTTCGACTTTGGTGATCCCATAATTCACTGCACCCAGAGGGGAAAAGAGCACTGCTCAGGGGTGTGAAACACATCTCCATGAAGGAATTAAGTTGAAGCAATTTAAAGCATCCGGAAATAACTTTGTTAATGATTTACTGTGCCATTATTAATTTGATCATCACATTATGTGCAATTATTAATTCACTGAGGAACGGGTTTAAAAAGCATTTTTCAAATGTGTACATGGAACTCATAATTTGTCAAAATCCACAGTCCTGCTTTATAGGGCTAATGTAATATGTAGGCGCATAATGTACAATCAAATTAATATAGTCCAACTAACAGATGCTCTGGACATAAAAACGAAAACTTGAGTAACCATAATTTTTGAAAAGTTAACCAGACTTAATATGTTATATATTTATTCCAAAAGAAAAAAACTAGCTACTTGTGTGCCTCAAAAAATTTCAATTTTAAGTAACACCTATACATATGTTAACATCTAAAAGTTATCTTCTCTCTCCACAAAATCCATGGATTATAGTCTTAAATGGGGCATTATTTCTACTATATATCAAGTATTTTAACTGAACACTTATGGTTGACTGTAAAATTCTTTCAAAACACGACTTACTAAATTGAAAAATGAATTTGTTCTGCACTTTTGGAATGTTTCATATAAAACAGTAAGATTTAAGAAAACATCTTATTTTAAAAGCTCATCTTTCAGTTCTCTTTTAAATATTTCATATTTCTGTTTAACTCGTGAACTAGGTTTTAGGACAGAAAATTGTATCGTTTCCTTTCGGAACACAGAGAAATTAAAACATTACACAGGATGGCATCTGTTCCTCAGTTGAGAGGTGTTTTAATTTCAGTAATTTCCTCCAGATTTGATTGCATGTTTGCAACATGATATAAAACAAAAATATATCACATAATGCCACGTACACAAATACTCCGAATGCACACAGTGAAATGGGAGGCATTTGCTAGTAGAAAGAAAAGTCAACCATCCACAACAATTATTTCCAATGAACGTTCGATTTTTTTCTCATTTGTATTTGTTTTGCAATTATTGCCATTTTAGCAACACCTTTAACTGTTAAATGCATTCGACTTTAATACCTATACAACTGAAATTCCTGCTAGCATTCATGCAAAGGAAGATACGATGTAAAATTAAATATAAAGAAGGGCCCCTGCTGATGAACAATACGGTTTTGTCTCAGCGGGCAGAGTTAAACGGGAACTTCGGCAATTAGGGATGGGGGAGGGGAGCGCGAGGGGCTGAGGGCATTTCAGGAGACAGACAGGATCTTTCCTAAATTAGGAGGATGGCCGCACGTGTTCGTCTTACTCAGCATCTCCCTGCTAAAAGTCATCCTAATAGTGCGTACGAGTTTAAAAGTGAATAAAATTCAATAATCACCCCTTTCCTTCCTCATCTGGATTCCCGACAATTAAAACATAAAATTGAGTCCATCTCGTAGTTAACACAGGACATTACAGAACATGAAAGTCCTGTCAAATCCAACAATTTACTGCCTATGTATCTGAGTTCCAAAAATACACATCATGATATCTGGATACAGCCAGAAAGCCAAAAGTTCATTCTACCGAGTAACTGTTCGAGATTTTCTAAGCAAATAACTGAAAAGATTTAATTGTTTACTCTAGCGTTACGTCTTCGTTTTTATACCCCTACAAGTCAAAAGCAACCTGCAACAAGAATAAAGTGAAATAAAAGGTTTACTTAAAGTGTGTGTAAAAAGTACTTAGATTATGAGCTCCTACAAGCTACCATCTTGCTAGATTTCTGAACTTTCATTAAAACTGTGGGCGGAGGCTTGTTGTAAATATTTCACACTTAATTCGTTTGTTATTTTAGAGCAGCCCGCTCCTTACGGCTTAACTGTGGAATATATACAATGATAAGGAAAAGCCCTTTTGGAATTGTAAACGTCTTTTAGCTGTCGCGATCTGAAATAATAGCTCCGTATCGAGTTACAAGATAGAAAAGATAGATGGTTTGTTTTGATAACATTTTGACTTTGAGATACTCGGGCGTTCAGAGTGGAAGACTTCACCCAGAAGCATTCCGAAAAGAGCTGCTTGGGTGACCTTTACTGTGAGGTCAAAAAAATTAGATAATGCAGATTCCTAGAGTGAGTAACTGTGTCCGCGATTCTTCTCGTCGCCCGAAGCTATTTAAATCGGTGTTTATCAAAATTTTACGTGCTTTATTTTAAAGCCCCCCCAAAAGCAGAAATCACAAAATCGCCCCTAGCAGCGCTCACAATTTCACAATGAAAAATACCGCCACGCCTTGAACAAAAGTTTTTGCTTTGTTTTTGTTTTGTTTTGTTTCACCTAAAGGAGCGAGCGCAGAGGTTTCTTCGCTTCCCTCCCGGTAGGGACGTCCTCTAAGCGGCCGGCTCCAGGTCGGCTCCTCCCGCCCGCCCCAGCAGCGGGCTCGGCTCCCCGAACCCCAGCGCTACCTCGACTCCGGCTACTTAGCGCCCGGAGCGGTTAGCCCGGGATCCGGTCCGAGACTCGCGGCCCTCGCCGCGGATCTTACCCGGTCTCGGAGTGAGGATCCCGCCGAGGCGACCTGGGTCCGGGTCCCTCCTTTCTCCCCAAAGCTGGCTTCCCACCGCGCCCCTCCAGCCTCCTCCCCGCCCGTGCGGACCCGACCTGCACCTCAGTTCGGAGCCCGGGCTGCTGCGGCCTGGGCCGGGGCGCTGGCGACTCACCGCTGCCGTCCTGACAGGGCGAGGTCCTCTCCAGGCGCACGTGATGCTCGGCTCGGGGCAGGGGCCCGAAGGCCTGCACGCATTTGCCGGCCGACGCTTTGCTGTAAAAGGACTCATTGTCCAGCGTCTCCATAACGTGCTCCAACGCGCCTCCGGCGCCCATGTAAAAGTCAGTGTTCTTACTTGGCAGGCTCTTCAGGGCGAACTTCTCGCTGAGAAACTCCATAGCCCTGCGAGGCCGCCTCGCGCTTCTGGGCGCGCGGGGGCGGGCGCGCGGGGGAGGGCGGAGGGAGGGCCGGAGCGGAGCGCAGGGGACGCGAGCGCGAGTGCCGGACGCCGGGAGCTGCCCTGCTCCGAACCCTCTAACGCGTCCCGGCTGCAGAGGGGGCCCCCGAAGTTGCTTTTATATCTTGAAACTCAGCTGGGCTCCTCGGCAGCCTCCCAGGTCTAATGAATATGAAAATAGGCGGGCTGCTAACTCCACCCCGGGGCCCCTCCGCCCAGCCCACCCCCTCTGCCCCCTTTCCCCCCGCAGGGCGCGTCCAGGCCTAGGGTAGACCGACAGTTCCGCTTCAGACAATGCCAGCAGACAAGGCCCGGCACCCCGAACCGCTGTCGCCGCGGCAGTGGACTGGCATTTCGAAGAGCTGGTGAGATGGCGAAGCAGTTGCCCCTCCGCTCCCCGCCGCCGGGCCCTCCTGGGAGCCCCCCACCCCGTCTCCACCCCGCCGCCACGCCAGCCTCTCGCTACCAGAAAGATTTAGAGGCATCCTGAGAACTTGAAAGGAAGCACTGCTCTAGAAGGGCCTTTATTTCATCCGTAAATCGTTTACGTGGAAGATCCACATTAATCGGAAGCCCGAGACGCCGGAGACCCCTGGAACTGTTAACGGGGCGGCTGCTCAGCTCCGCGCCCCTCCGAGCGCGCGCCCCTCGAGGCCGTGGCCTCCACTTCTGTGCAAGGCGGCGGCGTGGGGACTTGCGGGGCGATGGGTGGAAAGGGAAACTGAGCAAGAGGCGTTGAAACCATTCCACCACGCTAATCCCCACCGATTTCCCCACTTCCTACCACCTCGGCGCTCGGTCCCGACTTTACCCTAGACCAAAAATGTTTCAAGAAGTGCCTCCAAAAAGCCCTAAGTCCAGGCCCGAGGGAGGCTCCTAACGCAAACAGGTTTGTGAGGTGGAGGGAGGCATTCAGCGAGTCCTTCTCTCGCTCTTTTTATGTGACTCTAGATGCTTTTGAGGAGGCTCAGTGGAGGTACCCCGCCAAGTGCGCGCGGGGAGCTGAGCCAGCGGAAGCGGGCGTAGGGCCCGGAGACCAGCACCGCGGAGTCGAAAACCTCTCTGTGTGGCTTTGGACCCCACCCCAGCTTGCGAGGAGCCCCAGGCGCCTTGGGCAAGAAAAAGCAGCCTTCTGCAGTGGGTTCCATAAACTGGCCGATTTGATGAAAAACCCTACCGAGTTGTGGGCCAGAGAGGTCTCCGCTGTGGGTCCTAACTCGCCACAGACCCTCGCAGCGGCTGTCTCAATGGTCCAGACCAGACTGGCCATTACAGTAGGGCTTTGGGCACACCGAGCAACCCTGATTGTGGGGGCGGTGAGGCCAAACCCGTCACGGGTAGGCCCTCGGATGCGTGCTGGAGTGTCCTTCTCTTCGGGGGTCTTCGCTGACCCACGCGTCACGGGTATAACCGGGCAGCAACCTGGGAGGAGCAATCGCAAGGCGATGCGCCCCCCCCCCCGCCCCGAGCTGCGAGTGAGCCCTACCCTGAAGGCGAGGTGGGCCATAAAACCCCACATCCCGCCAGACGGGGCCCAGCAGCCCTGTTCACTGAGACAGTTCTCCTGAGGAGGGCACAGTCTCTCTCAGCGGGCCCTCCTTGGCGTGTGCGCTCAGGCTCTGGCAAGCTGACACTCTCCCCGGGTTTAAAGACCCTCTGCTGTGTTAATAGTGTCTATCTCCGAAGCAGTACCGCTAGCATCAGCGAGGAATCCGCAGAGCTCAAGAGGGCGCGGTCAAATGCGCGGACGGGCTGCGCTCCAGGAGAAAGCCCGGCAGCTCTTGGAGCCGAAACTGCACTGCAGATACCCTCAGCTTGGCGAGGCCCAGTTTGGGGGCAAGGGAGTGAAAATGGCCAAGGATGCGCGTGTGAGTGTGCCCGTGAGACTCAGGAGAGGAGCCGCTGTATTCTTCTTGGACACTTCTGGTGCCTTCCTCGGCAGCCCCTGTGGAAGTCCGAATGCCGGTGTTGAGTTAGTCCCGCACTCACCCCTGGTGGGTCGGT